GAAAGGAAAGGAAAGGAAAGGAAAGGAAAGGAAAGGAAAGGAAAGGAAAGGAAAGGAAAGGAAAGGAAAGGAAAGGAAAGGAAAGGAAAGGAAAGGAAAAAAAGAAAAGTACAGTGAAGGGGTAATTTTGCCCAATCTAGGCATGCAGTTTGCATTTATAGTATTTGAGTTGTGTTCATTCTTACTGATCCGGCCTTCTTGGGTTGGAGACTTACTGCCACAAACTGGCACCCAACTTATTGCTTAGAACTCAACTAACCTAAGATAAAAGTTTACTGCTCCCCCCCACAATGGCTAGGGCAGCCCTCTAGATGGCACCAGCGTGTATTAAAAGCTGACTGGGTCTGAGGGGCCTATGAAGAACTGCAGAGAAGCTCCCTCCCCCAACCCCCAGGGTGGAAGGACAATGGAGAAGGACATGGCCTGGAAGAATCACAAGTTATAAGGGATCTCATAGATGGGGAATAGAGTAGTGCATGGTAAATCTTCCCAATCCAGGCGTGCAGTTTGTACTTATAATATCTGAGTTGTGTTTTTATTGATCGGGCCTTCTTGGGCTGGAGATTTACTGCAACAGAAAAGAAAATCCCATCTGCTGGTGTCCAAACACAGAGGGCAGATCCATCTCTTAAGAACTAGGCTGGAATCCTCTTTTCTGATCCCTGGTTCACAGTATGCCCCATATTTACCTTTCAATTAATTCACAGGCATCTTTCTTTGAATATCTCGTTTTTTTTGTATCCAGTTGACTGTGAAACCACTGAAGTTTGTCACCTATGAAGAAGTACCAAAGATCAGCACTATTTCACACTTACACATGAAATTAAGTAAACTATAAGGAGCACTACTAAGCATGTTATGCCTAAGAGAGGTGCCAGGTTTCATGAAAAGAAAAAACCTGGACATGTCGGTAAAACTTATCAGTAATAAATCTGATCCACAGAAAGATAGAGACAAAGAGGGGTAGGTAGAAAGGAAGGAGGAGAAAAGGGAAAGAGGAAAAAGAGTGAAAGGGAGGGAGATTGTGCTACTGGCAGAGACTGAACATGTATGCACCCATATTATTACCCAAAACCCTCTGCTCTGTAATGCTTAAGCCATTGCTGTAAGTTGCTTCTAGGCTGCTCCCAAAGGCCCACACCTTAACTGTTTGTTCTCTAGTACCTGGCATACTAGATGACAACCCTTTGAGAGGTGAGGCCTATGGGCACTCTTACGTCACTGAGGAGTACCCTTTATGGGGTGCTGGGACTCGAGACCCTCCAATCTGTGTTCTTTGGCCAGCATAAAGCAAGCACCTCTTTCTAACACACACCCCTCTGCTAGTGCTTTCTGCATTGCTATGAGTCTACAGCAGCAGGATCGGATCGGCTTCATGGACTAAAACCCATAAGGTACACGCAAAGCAAACCTTTTTCCTCCGGTACGTGTTGTGGGAAGCTAACCCAGCCACACCCTTCAGAACCTTAGCTGTCAGAAGCCAGGATTAAACCTGAGCCAGGCACTACAGGTACACAGGAATGAAGTTTCTACAAAGCTAAGCTGTATGGAGTACTATCCGTCTACTCTGTAAGTCAGAAGCTTTGTTCCAATTCATTTGTGTATATACTGTACTTATTTATTCGTTTTTAGTAAGTCTGGTTAAAAAATAACATCTGATAAAGATAATAAAGAGAGAAAACGGTTTAGAGCAAAAGCTTCTCCATACTATAGGCAGATTCTGAAGCACTCGGACCACTTACCAATAAGGTTGAGACGCAAGGCCCTCTCAGTCTTCAATCTTGAACCAAAAGGTGCACAGAAATTAGACATTTTCCAAAGCAGGGGCTTAGAAATCTGTCAAAAATATTTCGAAAAAAACTTCCCAGAGAACTTTGACATTCTTTCACATGTGATAAAGCACAGGAATGAAGTTTCTACAAAGCTAAGCTGTATGGAGTACTAGCCATCTACTCTGGAAGTCAGGAGCTTTGTTCCAATTCATTTGCGTATATACTGTACTTAATAAAAATAAATCTTAATAACAAAAAACACACAGAATGCCATCATTATCTTTTAAACAGTAGGCCAAGTTGTCACTTGAATGTTGTTTCTGCATGCCAGTGTCTCCAGAAAAGCCTAAAGACAACCATCCTGTTAATGCAAACAGAGGCCTGACTGGGTGACGAGTGTTTGCTGCAGGGCTCCTGCAGCACCTGGAAGAGACCAGGAAGCGCTCACCCCAGTCCCTCAGACCTTCTCAGTAGAAAACTCTGCTCTAGTAAGTCCCATGGTGCACCTCACGTCAAATGAAGTTTGTGAAATACACAGATAGGCAATGGTAAAAAATTATACTGCTCAGATGTAGTAAATCATGTTAAAATGGCAAAAATGTTCAGTAATAAAGACCACCTGAAAACTGAAGGCCATTTTAATTCAGTATTGCCATCATACATCATTACTTTAAAAAGGCACATCCCCTGCAAGAAAGAAAACTCAACTCTGCCATCACTGTCTCTCCTAGAAAACACCTAGCCAATCACTGTAAAACAGCCAGGCTTTATTAGGTGAGGCTTTAGGTCTTAGGCAAGGTATCAATATACAATAAAAGTGTGCAAAGTTTCCACCAGCCACTATGTGGATGCCTCTTACACTCACTGGAACAGCAAAGCTAGTCCAAAATAACAGAAACGGTTTCTCTTTGGTCAGTATCTTCCCCCTCAGGCTCAGGCCCTCTCCTGGAGTCTTGTAAGAAACAGTGTATACAAATTAGAAAATTTCCAAAGCAAGGGTTTAGAAATCTGTTACAAACACCTTAATGTTCTTTGGTACATTTTTCCTTTTAGTATTTGTGGCAGACTTCTCTCCAAACCCTGCACAACTCTGAGAAGGAAGGCAAGCTAGGCTGCCTTAGTCCTGGGCTGCCTTTTCTTTCCCATCTACAGCATTCATTCAATGATCTAGTCTCCTGGCCCCAATCCACCGAACCCACAAATACTAACAGCTCCCTAACCATGGCATCTCCAACCTGCCTTAGAACACTAGTCCCAAGATATCCAAGCACAAATTCCTCCTTTTGTTTGTTATCTCGAATACACAGCACAGCTGAGATGCCTTCCTCAGTAGTCTCAGCTCTGCTCAAATGTTAATTGACTTCATGAAGAGTCTTCCATGACTCCCATAAAATAGAACCTCTCCTCAACTTTCCTCTAACCTGTGTCAATGTTGTACACCACATTCACCAAGAACTGCTACTTAAACTTATGTTTTAGGTCTGCTCTGTGAGACTAGAGGCCTTTTATACCGTGGTGCAAGAACAAATGGGAAAATGTTTATTAAAGCAATAAGAGGGAGTGGAAACTGAGGAACATACACCTGTTAAGTAGACACATGAACCTTTCCCCGGTGCTAACGGGACTAGACACTTACTTACCTTTCCTTCTTATCTTGTTTGTGAGACTCTCTTGTAATCTGAGCTGCTTTTCTACTGTACGGATGGATGACTTTTTTTTCCCGTCCTACCATTTTTCCTTTCAGTCCTTTAGGCTAAAAGACAAGACACATGTTGTCAGATACATTAAGTGACTCTAGTCACAAAATGCTCCTCTGAAGATACAATGAGCCAGAGAAGTCACAACAGGAATCAGGAGACGGGCCAAATATGTTACTAATCCTAACGGTCTTCTGTTTCCCCAAGATCATAAGAGAAATGATCCATTCAGACAACTCCAATGGCAGGAGACCAAAATGCACCACACTGTAACTTGAGACTATACTTGTTATCTCTCACGTCTCCTTTGCTAAAATAAAACTCAAAATAACCCTCAAAAACTCTCCTGGTAATTAAAATATCCACCAATTCTTCATTCACACAATTCTCTTAGACACTGCTCATTTTTGCATTAATCTGATGGAAGACATATCCAAGCCTGAAACCCATCTGAGATTGGCTATGTATAAAAAAATAATTGTAAAACCACACACACACACGGAGGATAAAGGGGCAAATGAAAAAATAAATTAAACATCAAGCATACACATGGTGGAAGGAGAGAACAGACTTCCGAAAACTGTCTTCCGATATCCACACGCATATAAAGTCAATTAAACTCGGATGCTGTGGATGAGCTCTTTATACTGCTATATATAAATCGTTTAGAACACTCTTAAGTAACTACTGTCTTAAAATACAAACAAAACAGCATCGTTGCCCAGTAGAAATGGGAGTTGTAGAGGCAGGACTAAGGTCAGAACAGGCCACCAAAGGGCTGCGGGCCATGCGCCACCTACTGGGTGACTGTGCCCTGGGCAGGGGAGATCTGCACTTGCCCCAGGGCAGAGGTGGGTGGGTCCAGAAAGTATTAGTTAAGTCCCTCAGGAAAACGAGAAACCGGGAAAAGTGGACAACGCCACAAAGCGAGTTAAGAAAGCGCTATAGCACTCCTATCCCGGGGCAGGCACCCATGACCCAGCACCGCCCCACGCAGCCTCTTAAGAGCTCCGGCGTCTCCGGGGTCTGATCTTGTACTTCCCGCCCGACCAGATCCTCCCGGGGAATCTAACGGGCCTCCCACCATGGCGATGTCCTGGCCACCGAGGCCTAGCGATGTCCAGATGCGACAATTTCACAGAGGGTAGCTGTAGCCGCTCCTAAGATTTCTCCTTTCGAAACACACGTGGGTCCAGGGGGGGGAAACAGATGCGAGCGGACCGGAAGGGGCGGGGCTGGTGCTTTCTCTAATGCGTCCCCTAGAAACTGAGACGTAGTGTTTTTTAGCCCGCCTTGGCTTTACAGTCCTGGAGCGGTACACTGGCCCAGAGATCTGAGAGTCGAGCCCAAAGAAGCTGCTTATGTCTGTCTTCTGTTTCTAACTGAAAGGCCGGCCTTGAGCATCTCCCAGGGGGCAGCTCTCCAAGAGCTAGCACCTTGCTAAGAGATAGCCTCACCGGGCTTAGAGGTGCTTGTCTCCCAGAGTAATGGAAAATCAGCCTTCGCTTTTCCTTGTATATTCTCTACTTTT